CTTCACCTTCACCTTCACCTTCACCTTCACCTTCACCTTCACCTTCACATACACATTCACATTCACATTCACATTCACATTCACATTCAAATTCACATTTACATTCACATTCACATTCACTTTCACCTTCACCTTCACCTTCACCTTCACCTTCACCTTCACCTTCACCTTCACCTTCACCTTCACCTTCACCTTCACCTTCACCTTCACCTTCACCTTCACCTTCACCTTCACCTTCACCTTCACCTTCACCTTCACCTTTACATTCACATTCACATTCACATGCACATGCACATTCACATTCACATTCACATTCACATTCACATTCACATTCACATTCTCATTCACATTCACTTTCAGCTTCACCTTCACCTTCACCTTCACCTTCACATTCACTTTCGCCTTCGCCTTCGCCTTCGGCCGGGTTGCTAGTTTTTTATAATAACAATGGACAGGCAAGAGATAACCATGTTACTTAATAATTATGACTATTGTGGTATAAATATTTTGATCTTTCATATCGTATACTTACTTTCATTTGTTTGTTCGTTTCCGTCCACGGGATCACAGGATCCCGGCCCTTCGGGCACGCTACTATAGCAGCGGTAAGACCCCTCTTTGAGGAGTGGCTTGAGAGACGCCACGGCGTCCTCACCTTCCACCTGACGCAGGGGCTTACCGCGCACGGCAGCTTCGATAGGTTCCTGTTTCGGCTCCAGCGGGAGGAAACGCCCGAGTGTCGTCATTGGGAGGACCACCTAGAGGACACGGTGGAGCATACGATGGCGGAGTGCCCTGCTTGGTCTGGGCACCACCGTGTCCTCATGGAAGTGATCGGTGGCGGCGACCTCTCGCGCCCGGCCTTAATCGAGGCCATGGTTCATTGCGAGAGGAACTGGGAAGCTGTCGCCTCCTTCTGCGAAACAGTTATGCTCGCAAAGGAGGAGGCGGAGCGCGTGAGGGAACTATCATCCTCGCGCCCCAGCCGCCGCAGCAGGCGACATTCCAGGCGTCGGGGATCGAGAGATGATCTCCGGCCACCGTAAGCGAGGGTCTGCGGACGGCGAGTAAAGGTAGCTCGCCGCCCGATCAGAACCAGACCCGAAGCGTGCGGCGCGTAGCATTCCGCGCGCGCCTCAAAGAGCCAATAAATCACCACAGACGGGGCCCAATAGGGCTGATGTTCAGCTGGGGTTGCGGGGTAAGCACCGCGACCTCGGCCCAGAGCAGGAGAAGGAACGGGGGCGTTTTTAGTCAGTAAGTCTGACACTTCCTCCCGCCCGGCCCTGGGCGGGGAAGGCGTACGAGGGGCCGAAGCCAACTCGCAGAGGCCCGTTGAACAACTTTAATTTAAGTGAAATGGGACATCAGCCGGCAATTATCCCTGTATGCACTATGAAAGTGCACCCAAGGATAAACCCCGGTTGATGCAGGACTATTGCGAATTATGGTAATAATTGAAAGGGTTATGGGTATGGGTTGCTATGGACTGGTGGATATGATAACTACGGAAATACTATGGCCTCTGCCCCTGACCAATATTGATACATAGGCAGGGGGTGACTGGCAAACTCAATTAATGGGCCCCCGGAAACGGTCGCTAGCATGTAGCGACACGGAGGCATAATAATTTGAGCTGCTTGGGGAAGGAGAGGCATCCCACGGCTATCACAGCAATCCCATAAGGACGGTCAAGACCCCTACCAGCACCTTACTGAGATACACCCTTCCCCCGAGTCTCCTTTAACTCCTTCTCTTGCGGATCTCCACCCAAGTCAGCCAATTTAGGCAAGAATGAGAAAGAAGGCTTGTTCTTCATCAGTGTTCACTCCAGCACGTCACGAAGACTAACCGGAGATGAAGAACAAGACACCTCCCGGGAGTCAGGGCCATGGGGTCGCTACTGCCCAACAGCTCGCCACAAGCTGCCTTGCGGATCCACTTTTTTTATTACTATACCTATATATCCACAATGATAAAAAAACATTCCAAACACAATAGAAACGAGTCTGTGATTCTTATGGTGTTGCGTGTGTCCATTGGCGGCGCTGACTACTTACCATCAGGTTCAGACAGTCTCGTTTGCATCTAATTCCATAAAAAACATGGTAGTATCTATATAGATTGGTTTTACTTTCATCAGTCTAAGAGTATGAAATTCTTTATCTAATTTTAATATACCAACTTTCTCAGATTTTTTCGACTTCACTGGCATACGATTAATGAAAACATCGTGACAAAATCTGATCTTAAAGTTAAAAGCGCCAATTCCCTTTGAGCAGGCGTGGTATCATAGCACAATGGTAGCAATTTGTTCAGCAGAGACTTGTAGGCTGATGATGATGATGATAAAATATTAAGATGATTAAAGGACATGGCCAAAAAAGTACATTCCACGTACACGAACAAAATTAATACACTGTAAAATACAAATAGAAATATGAATGATTACGTAGTTTTTAGCCTCTCCAGACTTGACAATTTTTTTTTTTTGTTTAAATAAAACATTGCCCCACACTAGGATTTTCTCCTGTGTCGTAGGTGCGTTTACAAACATACAATTTCACATGCACATCACACCCAGACCCGGAACAACACTCTGTGGATCACACAAAGACTTGTTCCGTGCGGGAATCGAACCCGCGACACGTTGCGCGGCAGCCAGTTGCCCAGCCATCGCGCCAACCGTGCAGTCAATCAAAATTATTATAAAATTATTATGAAATGTGAAAGTAATGCAACAAAATCAACTTATCGTTTGTCAAGTTTCGCCATAATAGTCCATAGAGAAAGACAAATAAAAAGACGTTCCAATTCCAAACCATGTGTCTTAAACTACACTCGTAGGAAACGTGTGATATGATCGACAAATGCATTACACTAGGAACATTTTATTCATACGAAACTGTATTCATTGATTTTAGTTGCATTTTAAAATATACTCATATTATAATAATATTATGTTTTATTTTTATCCAATTCACCAAAAAAAAAACTTAAACGAAACGGAACGTGTTTGGCACTTTTGACAGCGTGTTTTTGTTAACCTTGCTAATAATACTGGAGTAACTGTTTTGCGTTTTGGATTTGTTTTGTGGATTACGATGAGGTGCATCAACTGCGGAATAGGCGTACAAAGGCTGCAGAGGCGTCTTATATCCTCGCTTTCTGCACACCATCGAACAAAACTTTCACGTTGGTTAACCATAGCTCAAACCCAGGTATGAAGTCGGAATAGTATAATACTTAGTCTGTTTTTTTATGTTTTATAATGGTATGCGATTTTAAATAGTGCATCTTTTTTTAAGTTGCCTCTGGGGACATTCATTTGTCAACCACGCTTCTTATTATTGAATACTGAGGCTGGTGAACATGAGACACTACTGAGGCATAACATGGCTTGCCTTGGTTGTGGAAAATCGGTTCGAAAAATAGGACACTATAATGTCAGTATGGACTTTCCATTGCTAGCTGGCCTAATATCACAAAATACTATTAATGTGGTAAGCATTTTGTTTTTTATTCATTGTTTTATATATGTACTTGTATTTATCTATATTAATCTATAAAAAAGTACTCATAGTAGGTATGTGTGATTATAATATATATCTTTATGTATTTTCCATGTTTGCATAGACTTTTTAAAGTAGGCATGTTGTAACATAATACTTCTCACTGTACAATAACATAAAACTTGAAAACATGTGTTTATTCTAACTGGGGTTTATTTTCAGACCTCAAGAAGCAACTATGTTTGTCATGTGTGCTGTATGCGGGCAAATAGACAGATAGTGCAGAACTTATCACGAAACTTGCAGGAATTGGGTTCGGACAACAATGCAGCAGCCCCTTATATTCAAGTGGTTAGCCCACCAGAGCCACCACCATTACCACCTGTTTTAAGCAGGCCGCTTCAAATGGAAAGTACTACCATATTATTACCCAATTATACAGAATATATATTACAGAAATATACACTTTATAATAAAAATATAAAAGTGAATTATTACGTAGTTTTATTTTATTTGTTCTCCTTAATAAATAAATCATTATTCTTTATACATATTCTTTTGCTTTATTTTATAAATAAATAATTAAAACGCCATGGTTTTTAAAAGCAAAATCTTATTTCGTGCACTTATGGCCAGTAATCTGACTAAAGGTTTAGTAAAACTATTTTCGTCTTGTTTGTTATAATTACGAGTTCTTCGTGTGTTTTATTAATTGCAATTTAATTTAATAATATTCACGAATGTAAACACCAAAAATCATTGATGTACATTGAATTCAATAACTATGCAAACGCCCATACAAAAGTTGGCCATGTCCTTTTACCTCTGGTTTTGCTCTTGTGAATTTGGCCTAAATTTGCAAATTTATGGAAAGCTTCAAACTAACTCCTTCTAACGAACATACTTAATAATCTCTTGTGGTAGAAGTTATGATGATTAGTTTGCAATCGAAATTCAATTTTATACGCAATTGGGACTAGACCAGGGTAGATTCCAACGAAAAACTAAACTGTCAATAATTAGAACGAATTGTAAAAGATGACGGGCAAATTTCTGGTACAAAGAGGTGGTACCACAAGAAGAAGAATAAGAGACTAGACCAAATGTGGGATGAAAGACAAGTATGTGCTATGACACCTTTAGCTTCATATATGTGCAAGCAGAAGAAGTAACGGCAATAGAAGTCTAGACATGACGACGGATGTTATAAATAAAATTGCAGATTTAATAATTCATTACTATTTTATTTAGGTACTGTCGTTTCAATAAATAATTCTCAGAAACATTCAGGCACAAGTTGTACTATCTTAAAGTAAAATTGTTATACAATAACAAATACCTCATATTATTTATACTGCCATTTTCCAAGGAATATGAAATAAATATTTGATACATACTGTATTTACAAATATAAAAACGAAATCCGTTCATCAATTTAACTAAACGTCGAGTTTTCATCAGTTATTTGAATACTACAAGTTATATAACTTAATGAGACTCGTTCTTGGCCTTGCTCCACTCATCGTCGGAGCGTAAGATGTTGGTGTACTTGGTGACAGGCTGGTACGCCTTCAGTTTAGCTTCCTTCTTCAGTTCCACAGTCTTAGGGTCGCTGCCTTCACCTTCCAAAGAGAAGGAAGCTCCGTAGTGCTCGGGGAGGTCTACCAGACCGTATGGAGTCATGTAGTCGTCACGGATTTGGGTTGAATCCTGTCCACACAGGCCTCTGGTTGTCTTACGGTGTTCGTCGGTAAAAACAACCAATCTCTGGCTGTCGTATACCAGACGAATGGCTCCATTGTTAATATTGAACACCTTAACACCGTCAGCAAGAGTGTAGATTTGTAGCAGGGGAACTTCCTTGTCTTCGTCCCAGTAGATAGCCAGATTGCCATCAGTGACATCCTTTCCGTTGGTCTTAACGTCAAAGTTTTCAGGCTTGATGTCTAGCTCAACGTACTTGCCACCTTCGGTCCTGTAAACATTATAAAACATTATAACGGCATGGTTATAAAAGCGGTTATTTAAGATATCGATTAAATTTTACTACATAATATTTCCGACAAAAAATATTCAGTAACTCTTCAAATTTAGTACGGTTGCAATAATTGAACTATGCAAAGCAATCTACTCACTTGTAAGAGACGTAGACCTCCTCTTGGTTCTCACTTGGCCTTCTAGCAAGAATGACCAAGTCAGTCCATTTGAATTCGTTGGATTCGTCAACCATCACAACGTGCCAGGAACTGGACAGGCTGTAGTCGTAGCTGCGGCCACTAAATGTCTGAACCTTGCTGCTGTCCACAGCACAAGCAGCTAAAAATTATAGAATAACAACCGTTAATTACAAACCGACCATTACACAAAAATACAATGCAAACTGATTTCTGTACCTGACGTAATACTCACGCATGTATTGATAACCGTAGTAGTAGTTGTAAGCACGTTCCCAGTCAGTAGTCGGGGCATAGTAAGCCATAGCGTATGGGTAATATCCCAAGCCTTTTACATTCTTGAAAGCGACCACTCCCAACTTGGAAGTCAATTCGTAGTTTACATAGTTATCGTAGTAGAATGCCTGTATCTCAACTTCCATGACACCTGCGTTAGTTTTCTTCAATGTGTCCACTTCCTGTTCCCAGGAGTAAAATTGTTTGAATAACTCGTATGTACTGTATGACAGGTCCATGTAGCCATCGCCAAAGTCTTCGTAAGTTACATTGAATTTAAAGTAGTCAGGAGCGTGCGCTTTCATGATTAACTTATAACAGTCCTTCTGGTAAGTGTTACCTTCGCTGGTTTCTTCCAGGCATTGTTTCGCCAAGGGATCCTTTGACAAAAGCTCTGTGTATTTCTCGCTGCGGACACCTTTGCCTTGAATGTGGAAGTTTTTGGCGGAGCCGATTTTCAGATCAGCTTCATACGATACCTCAATTTTGTTTTTCAAAGCTTGTTCGAAGTTTAGAGGAACGATTTTAGGCTTAACTTGCTTGTAGACAAAGTTTAATTGATTCAATCCGTTGATTAAAAATACTCCTTGAGACTTGTTGTCCACAAAGCTCTCAGCGATAGCAGCAGTGAATACAAACTCTACTTTACGTTCGCCATTAAATACAGCACTTAAGTCGTAAAGTTGGACCTCAGCAGATTCGATGCCCTTAGCAGCACGCTTGACAATCTCTTCACGGCGAGCCTTAGCTGAGACATCTTCAAAGATCGCAGCTGGTCCAAATTCACCACTTACTTTTTGGTTGAACAATGTTTCTAAAAACAGACATTACAATTTTAGGTTTGCATTGAAATGGGTACGAATGATAACTTGTGGATAAATTTTAAACAAACAGTTAAAAAATTAACTTACTGTAGGATAAATCGAAGGTGACATCCTTGTTTTTGGTTTCCTTAGCGATATATTTCAAATCGAACTGAGTCAAAGCAACGTCCTTTTGGTACATAATCGTGGCAATGTTGGACACAATGTCAGATTTAAAAAGTTTGTTAATGTTCTTGAAGTCTGATGAGTAAGAATATCCTTTCAAAGAGAAAGAGACTCCAGATACTTGACCTAATTTCAAGTCAGTAGTTACAGTTTTAGCAGCACGTTCGACGAACTTAGTCGTTGGGTTTTCAGCAACAGTCAGCATAGAGTCTGTCTTTTGCAAAGTGGAGTACGGCCAAACACTCAGGTGAATGAAGGTGGCATCTTGTTCAGGCAGAACAAAGTTCAGTTTGATTTGTCCAGGCGCAACAACAGTGTTCAGATTCAGAGGGATGTGGAATTGAATTTTGTTGATGACACCAACTGTGGTATATACGTCACTGAGCGTGTCCAGGAAACCAACATTGCCAGCCAAGTTTCTCGCAAAGACGATGTTGAGATTTTTGTTCAAAGATCCAGCTAACTCCTTGGCACTTGAATCAACTTTGACTTTAACTTGGCCATTGAATGATATAATTAGTGGCTCAGCGTATTCAAAGAAGAACGGTACACCAGCAGCCAGAGGGAATATTACGTATGTTTGTTTCTGGTTCAACACCTTAGTGTATTGCACATCCACACCTTTGAGCATTTGCTGTACATTCGTCACCGCGCTAGCAATGAAGGCATCAAGGTCGGCTTCGTTGAAAGTGATAAGTTTCTGCTGGTTCAAATTCTCAAGGAAAAGAGAACCTTCGAGCTTGTCTTGTGGTTCCCGTTTGATGTTAAGTTTTTGTACGATGTCCTTTGCAGAGAATTTAAAGTCAACCTTAGAATTATCTGGTTTGTAAATCATCTGCGTGATGTAGTCCAGCAGTTGTTGCACTCCGGTAACAGACATAGTAATCTGAAAATATAATAAATTCTGTTACTTTTATCCCAAAAACTTTAAGTTCTATGTATATCTTATCATTTTATGATAATATTATAAGATTTAATGGTGCTTTTAAGTTGTCTGGTAATTAGATAGTAAGAAACATAATCTGTGTACCTGGTCTTCTTCAGTCCAGCCAGTGCTCCTGGTTCTCAATGCCGCCCTATGGTATACGGGGAAGTAGTTGTCCTCACTACCGACGTATGAAAGTTCTCTAAAGTATGCGATGTCGTCATCTGTAGTGTACTTGTCAATAATGCTGTCAGTAGAGATACGGTATCCGAATTTCTCTTTCGAAACGATAGTTTGAACAGATTGAGCAGTCTTAGCGCTGAAAATGAAATCAAAATGAAAATCTGTCTACAAATAACATATATGTACATAGATTTTTTGTGAAAAGTTTAATAAGCGATACTTACAGTTCTGCAAAACGGGGGTCTTTTAGTCCAGCGGCGAAATTAATTCCGTTAGCCAAAACAGCGCGTACTTGGGTGCTAGGATCATCGTTTGTCATGTGTGCCATAACTTGCATCATTTCAGCGGTAGGGAAAGCCATGAAGATGTTCAGAGCAGCAACCACTCGCACTTCGTAAGGTTCAGCAGTATTTCTCAAAATACTGTAAAGCACAGCACGAGCATATTCGTTCTTAGAGTTAGCCAAGGCCTTGAGACTGGCAACCATCTGGAAGCGAAGGTACTTAGATACTGCAACGGTACCGTCCAAGTATGGAGCAAATACTTCCAAAACTTCTGGCTTGACCAAATTACCAAGAGCTCTGATGTAAACTTGAGCTTTGTTGGAGTCTGCATTTTTTACAGCTTGTTTCAGTTCTCTTGCGAGACGAGGGATAATGGTGTCGACGACATATAAGTTAGCTTCGTTGGACCGAGATAATTTAGTGACGGCTAAGAGAGCGGAGACGTTAACAGTTTGTTGTCCCATGACTTCAGGGTTGGTTGCGAAATCAAAGAATTCTGCAATTACTTTCTTGCTAGGCATAAGAGTGGCACCAATACCAGAGAGCAGTTCACCTGCTTCCTCGCCTTGTACCTTCTTGTTCAGAATCCATGATTTAATTTGCTCGAATGCAACATCAGTGCCTGCTTGGGCGACGGCATCACGGTAAATTATCCACATGCCATTCTTAGCAGAGTTTTTCGAGTCCTTAGCAATTTCAACACTGCTAGTCAACAAGTTTAGCTGTTCAGAGTCCAAGGAGATAATAAGGCGAACCAGAATGTTGAACTTTGCGAGGAAGTCACCCTTTGATAGTTGGTCGGGATTTTGCAACAGAGGAGTCATATCTTGGAGCAGTTTTTGAGCATTGGCAATGGTCTTGTCGGTGAATTTAGGCATGAACATGGATTCACTCATGGAGAATATGAGAGAACTGATCTCACGAACTTCCTCAGGTTTCTTCCATTCCTCACCAGTTGTTTCTTTGACAGAAGATAGAGCGGCTTTGACGTAACTGTAAACTTCAGCCTTCTGCTTACCGAATAAGAGAGGGTTCACATATACAGAGCTGATGACGTCCGTTTGGTAGATGGTTCCTTGTTTACCTGCGAGTGTGCGTGATTCAGAAGTGTGCTTGATGAACTGTTTCTGTTCGTTTTCGTAAGCAATTCCATTCCAGACAGAGCCTTCCGGTACACCGTAGAAGAATGTTGCACGCTTCTTGCATGAGTCGTAGTTCTTGCTCTTAACAATTTCAATAGGATCCTCTTCAGATGCAAAGTTTGGCAATTCACGACGCCATTCAGCAGAAACTGGGGATACAGTGTAGAGAGTTTCACACTCACCAGTCACATCAGTTTCGATCTTCTTGAAGAGACCTTGGAAGGATTCCTTATCAAAGCTGTTGGGGAAGTCGTCAACGTGTCCGAAAGTTGATAAGTCAACTTGGAGAGCGCTGATCAGACCCTTCAACAAGTTTTCGTGAGCAACAGAGAGACCTACTGGAACTTTGAAGGACTTGACACGGCCTCCTACGACTAAGATCTCGATCGGCTCGTCAGTGATCTTAACAGACTCGTACTTGAGGTCGGAGGGAGCAACGTTGTAAGTAATCTCCTCCGATTTTATTTGAGCGTACAAAGGCTGGCTTAGCTTAGCAAGGAGTTGACCAGGTGCCAACACACGGATGATGAACTCGGCCTTGAAAGCGTTTCCATTGCTGTTGCTGTCTTCATATTTGGTCCATGTGAACGTGTTCACATTGTAGTGGTAGTCCTTGCCTACTTGCCAGGGCCAACTTTTGCTCTGGGTAAGCGGGCTCGACGCTACCGCGGCTAGAACAAAAATCAACAATATACTAACTGATTTAAATAAGAGTGTTTGACAGATGAATTTAATGTACGCGTTTTAAAAGCTGTGGTGTTATAGGACGTAAAATTAAATTATAAGGAACTATTTTGTTTTGTATTTCGGCTGCACGATTAACATAGCGGTTGGGCAACCGGCTGGCGTTCAACGCATTGCGGTTTCGAATCCTGTACGGAACAAAACTCTTTTTGTGATCCACAAATTGTTGTCCCAGGTTTGGGTACCGGTTTTGTCTGTATGGTGCCGGACGTAAAGAATACCACCATCCCATTTCTTCCCGTGGGTATCGTAAGAGGCGACTAAGGGATATTTCTAAGGCCGTGCCTACTAATAAGCACTTTAGGTCACCGTGTGGGGTCGGTTAAACTACCAACAATAGCATTCCCAAGGAGGGTTAGCGTCAGGCCAGACCAGCCTGGGCGGGTGCAACGTAAGAAGTTAGCTCGGGAAATTAGATTGAGGTATGCAAGTTGAAATGTCGGGACTATGACTGGAAGGGCCAGAGAGTTAGCGGACGTATTGAAAAGAAGACGAATAAACGTAGCGTGCTTACAAGAGACTAAATGGAGAGGAACAAAAGCCAGAGAAATTGGTGACGGATACATGTTCTACTACTGTGGAAGTGATGGCAAAAGAAAATGGTGTAGGAGTAGTGTTATATAGCAAATTGAAACAAAGCGTGATGGAAGTACATAGGATAAATGCTAGAATTATAGTTGTGAAAGTTATGTTAGAGAATGTTATGTTGAATGTAGTTAGTGTGTATGCACCACAAGTAGGAGGTAACGAAATGGTGAAAGAGAAGTTTTGGGAGGATTTTGATACGGCCTTAATGAACATCTATGTACATGAGGAGTTGATAGTGGGAGGTGATTTTAATGCACATGTGGGAAGAATGAGAGGTATGTTTGAAAGAGTACATGGCGGATGGGGTTTCGAAAATCCAAACAATGAAGGAGAGACACTGTTGCAATCCGCTACTGCATTTGATCTAGCAGTAGACAATACGTGATTTCAGAAAAAATATGAACACCTGGCCACGTATAAAAGTGATAATCATAAGACGCAAATAGATTACGTTCTAGTCCGGCGCAACCACTTAAAGTATGTGATGGATTGCAAAGTGCTGCCAGGAGAAGACTAAGTCTCGCAACACAGACTCCTGGTTATGTCATCAGTGGTTCAAATTCATTGTAGGAAAACCAAAGAGCATAAAATAATAAAATGGCACAAGCTAGAGAGTAATGAGCGCGAGTGGTGGACAGAATGATAGAGATAGAGGACATGAATGATCGAAGTATAAATGAAAGCTGGAATGAGATGGCTGAGTGTATAAGGCATGCAGCGAATGATATTTTGGGCGAGACGAAAGGAAAGGGCAGAATAGATAGAGATAATGTATTGAAAGAAAATGAGAAAAAATTCAAGGAATGGCAGTGTGTACAAACAAATAATGTTAGTTTGAAAGCTGATAGAAAGATTGAGATATAATGCTTTAAAGAAAAAAGCAAAGAAAGCCGTGACAATTGCAAAAGTAAAAGCCCAGGACAAACTATAATGTATAATGTATCACATTAGACAGTCCTGCAGGCCAGAAAGAGCTGTACCGGCTCTCTAAAATAAGGGAAAGAAAGGCAAGGGATGTTTGCCAGGTAAGATGTGTAAGAGATGAAAGTGGAATGTTTGTATCGGATAATGACAAAATCAAAGAGAGGAAGGAATATTTTGAAAGACTTATGAATAAGGAAAATAATTGGAGTGGGGTTTAAGAGACTAAACCAGTGAATGTGGGGTTAGTGAGAATGGTTAGTATGGAGGAAGTCAGAGTAGCAGTGAATGGAATGAAAAATGGTAAATCCATTGGCCCAGATGGAATACCAGTTGAGGTGTGAAAGTTATTAAGAGTAGAGGGATGGGTGTGGTTGGCTTTGTTCTTCAATAAATTGTTGGAGCAAGAAGCCATACCTGATGAATGGTGCAACAGTTTTTTTGGTGCCCATCTTTAAAAACAAAGGTGATATGCTTGAGTGCATCAATTATAGAGAAATAAAGCTAATGTCGCATACCATGAAGTATGGGAGAAAGTTATTGAACGGCGGCTGAGAGAAAAGAGTGAAATTTCACAGAACCAATTCGGTTTTATGCCTGGTCTTAGTACAACGGATCCCATATTTGCTGTACGCCAGTTGTGCGAAAAATACAGACATGTACATAAAAACTTGCACATGGTATTCGTTGGCCTCGAAAACGCATATGACCGGGTACCTCGTGAGATTCTGTGGTGAGCCCTTAAGGAGAAAGGTGTGCTTGGGAAGTATGTGCAGTTGATCCGATCAACAGTACATACTTCTGATATCTCTCTTGATGTATAATCGCTGCAGTACACAAGTCTGGTCTGCAGCGGGCACCACTAACAACTTCAATGTAGCTGTCGGTTTACACCAAGGGTCGGCTCTCAGCCCTTACCTCTTCCTGATAATAATGGACGCTCTGACGTCGGACATTCAGGAAGAGGCTCCCTGGTGTATGCTGTTTGCCGATGATATTGTGCTGGTTGCCGAGAGTGCCCTAGAGGTCCAGAGCAGATTGGAGGTGTGGTGGCAAAGACTGGAGAGTGTTGGCCTAAAATTGAGCAGAACTAAAACAGAGTACCTGTTCTGCGATTTTGGCGGTCCCTCTAATCCTGAGCTCTCGCCGGAACGCCCATTCCAACCTGTTCCAATTTTCGGCACCTTGGATCGCTTATCCAAGGGAATGGTAAGATAGACCGAGACGTGGCACATCGGATCAACTCAGGATGGATGAAATGGCGACTGGTCACTAAAAACTTGCGACCCACGGATGCCCCTGAGGTTGAAGGGTAAATTCTACAAGTCCGTGATAAGGCCTGTCCTACTGTTTGGGTCAGAATGTTGGGCTCTGAAAAAGACGGATGAAAAGCGATTGCATGTAGCAGAGATGAGAATGTTGAGATGGATGTGTGGTGTGACGAGAATGGATAAAGTGAGAAATGAGTATGTTAGAGGAGTTTGAAAGTGGCGCCAGTGGCTAAACTGAACAGTGGCCATGTGAAAAGAAGGGATGAAACGCATGTTACAAAAAAAACCCATGACTATAAATGTTTATAAATGGATGGATGGAGAGGGAGAGAGAGACCAAAGAAAATATGGATGGATTGAATGAGAAGTGATATGGAAGACAGAGGAGTTAGTGATAGCGTGACGGGTGATAGGACAGAATGGAAGAAAAAAACATATTGCGCCGACCCGAAATAAAACGGGACAAGGGCAGGAAGATGATGATGTATATGTGTGATTATATGTTTGTAAAGTGGAGGTAAGTTTTCTTAAGAATAAAAAAAGTAGAAAAGGTATCAAACTGTTAATCTGAAGACACATAAACAGATAGACAAACAAGTCTTTGATGACATAAAAATATATAAAAAAAATATAACTTACCGATTAACGCCGTCAGTATCAACAGCTTCATAGTTCCTTTTGCTGAGCAGTGGTCGTGGTCAGTGTAGCTGGGGACGCAGACTTCTGATGCTGAATGCTGGGACACGCGGCTTTATATACAGACCTCGGCACCACTCGACGCCTACAATATGCGACCCCTAACCCCTTCCGCGATAACAACCAAAAAAATCAAAAATTGAACAATCTGTTTTGGCTTTTTTGGCAATTTTTTACTTAACTGTGTAAGGATATTACTTTGAATTCAAATCAAAAAACTAATCATTTCGATCTTCAAAGAGTTTAAAATTATTTAAAATTTCATTGTTTTTACAAAATGTTTGTTTTATAATATAAATAGTATTTTATCTCGTTTGCTCACAAGACGATTAACATATTTTTTCTAAAAGTGTTAACATACGAGTAATTCGCTACGTTAAACAATTTCTTATGACAATAACGTGTTTTCATTAACAAGTGATATCAATCTAAATATTCCTTTTTTATACTAAAGTTCATCTAAATCTGTTCAGCAATTTAGGTTCAGAAACACAAAATAAACAATCACACAATAGTAGTAGAATCGGGTGCTACGTACAAAATGTATAAAAATTATCTGATTCTTTTTTTTCGCTGGTTCTCAGTTTTGGAAATCCAATTACTTACAATTTAATACAAATATATTATTTATCAAACGAATATAAAAATTACCTTTATAATATAAGTGGGTTAGTTAAAATAAAGATCATCGACATTTCTCTATAGCCTTCAATTTTTTTTTAATGTGATTACGTCGGCAAGCTATTAGACTTATTAAAAAAACTAATCATTATAGGACTAAGATTACCTGATGGTAAGCAATCAGCGCCGCCCATAGACACCCGCAACAACAGAGGAGTTACGAGTGCGTTGCAGACCTTTTGGGGATTAGGGATTTGTACATTTAGGATGAGGATTGGGGAGGTTAAGTATCGGACCTCCGGTAACCTCACTCATACGGTGAAACACAACGCTGTGGTTGTTTTACACCGGCTATCTGTGAGGCCGTGGTATTACTCCGGTCGAACTGACCCATTCGTGCCGAAGCATGGCTCTCCCAAACTTTAAAAATTCAATGGTGCCAAAATTGTAGTTATTCTCTTAGAAGAAACAAGTATGTTTGTCTTTTTATGAGTTAATCATGACCCTAGAATTAAACTCAGAATATTTATGATTTAATTATCAAACATAATGTTTACATGCTTTTATCTGATTCAGTATCACAAAAACCTAGGTTTGTGTATACGAAATGACACAATGGTATACGTACGTTATATTTGATAACAGTTTAATGTTACGATTTAAGCGTTTGACTGCCGACAAAAACTGTTGAAAGCTAACCCTCCGCTAGCGTCGGACAGCATTGTCCGACATGGCGTTCTAAGTGTTAAAAATATTCTCTTATTACTCGTGCAATAAAACGCTTAGTTACAGACAAGTTTTTTATTACTTTAATTCAATTACAGGAGAGATATGCTTGCTTTACTATATAATAATACTATATATTTTAACTTTTATAAACTTCAAACTATAATATTATAAACTTGCAATAAATAAATTTGAATACATATTGTTTTGCTAAAATAAATTAGATTTTGGATCACTACTAGGTTGTTAAAAGTAACTATAACAACAAATTAATAAAACATCATTTTTATTTAGTTATAGACTAGATTGAACTTAAAATGCTTTGTTTTCTTTATAATGCTTTGACAGACTTTTGCACCTTGCTCCGCTCATCATCAGAGCGGAAAATCTTGGTGTACTTAATGACAGGCGGATACGCCTTCAGTTTGGCTTCCTTCTTCAACTCTAAGGTCGAAGGATCGCTGAACTCTCCCTCCAGTGAGAAGGAGGCTCCGTAGTGGTCAGGGCGGGTCACAAAACCGTAAGGGGTCATATAGTCATCACGGCTCTGCGATGTGCTCTGACCACATAGACCCCAGGTGGAACTGCGGTGGTCAGCAGTGAAGATCACGAGTCTTTGCTTGTCATACACCAGGCGAAGAGCTTCGTTGTGTATGTAGAACATCTGCGTACCATCAGCTAAAGTATGGTACTGTAACAATGGGGCTTTCTCGAAGTTAGACCAATACGTCGTCAGAGCACCTTCGCTCATCTTCGGTGTGTTGCTCTTTACTGCAACACCTGTTGGTTTGATCTCAAGTTCTATGTAGTCTCCGCTATCGGTCCTGTAATACAAAATTATTAAACCTTTTCGCAAGTAAAAAAATGTCACTTACATTCTAGCATGGCTTGAAACCAGTCGAGTATCTCGTCAAACAATTACGTGAGTAAATTGAAAATATAATAATTAATTTAGTAGATATGTCTCACGAAAGTTATAATAAAAATATAAGTAAAAAGCGCACTAGGATTTTCTTCTGTGTCATGGGTGCGTTTATAAACATATACACATCGCACACAGACCCCGAATAAGAAATTAGTGGATCATACAAGGACTTGTTTCATGCGGGAATCGAATCCACAACACGTTGCGCTAGAGCTAGTTGCCTAGTCACTGCGGCAACCGTGTAGCAATAAGCAAATATGTCTTTCTGTGCCCATAGATTACACATCTAGCTGTACTCGTATATTTCAGGCTGGAAGATTTGTATACAAATTAGTCTGTCCCATAGTATGTAGTTAAAACATTACTGACGACAAGTGAATATTACTTTAAGTAACCATGTATGAACCATGAGTAACCATGGAGTTTCTTGCTCGTTCTTCTCCATAGGAATCTACACTTTGGAACGAGCAAATAGCTTCACTAGAGGACAGACGGACAGACTGACACGCTTAAGATTAAAGCTCTTGCAATACTTTTTTCCTTTTTTTGCTTGACGTTCAAAAGTGCCTTGTTAAAAAAAAGTGTTCAAAAGTGATTTTGACTTTTTTTTTATTCTTATAGAATAATTATAAATCCTATTTAAATGTTACTTGTAACCCAAAACCAACGTAGATTGTAATTGTTACAGCAAATTTGAATTGTAAAACAAAGCGTTAAGATTAGATTAAAGTAAGATTACATTTGACCGCACCACATATTTACGTGAACTTTATATGTGAACTTTACTTTTAAGTGAACTTTATATATTTCTATGAGATGTTATATTGATCTAATAAAGAATGGCAATACCCCTATTAAAAGGCTTTAGTTATATTTGTTAGTACAAACTTGATTATGTATAAGCAAATATATGTATTAACGCCGTCTGTTTCTTAATACTTACTTATAAGAAACATAGACCTCCGCATGGTTTTCACTGAGTCTTCTGGCAAGGATGACCAGGTCATCGTTGTGTGCGTCAACCATAACAACGTGCCAGGAACTGGTCAGATAGTACTCATAACTGCGGCCACTAAATGTCCACACTTTATTGCTGTCTAGGGAGCAGAACGCTGTCGAAAACAAAGTTTATTTATTATAAAGAAAAGTAAGTTATGTAATAATAAAAGTGTGGGAGAGCTATGCTTCGGCACGAATTTTCGGGTTGGCTCGACCGGAGTGATACCATGGCCTTACAGAAAACCGGTGTGAAACAACCACTGCGTTGTGTTTCGCTGTGCGAGTGAGGTTACCGGAGACCCGACCCTTCCCTACTCCCCTAATTCCGAAATCCCTAATGCCCTAAAGGTCGGCAACGCACTCGTAACTCCTCTATTGCGGGTGGCCATGGGCGGCGCTGATTGCTTACCATCAGGTAATCCGTCTGTTTGTTTTCAGAGCTCGAGCATATCTTTAGTTATGAACTTAGTAATCTGTCCTATTAACATGGACATTTTAGACTATAACTCCCAGTCTCAGAGCAGGAGAAGGACCGGAGTGGTTTGGAGTCAGTAAGAATTTGACAAGGTGCCAGTGCCAAGAAAACCAAAACTTCACCCTCAAAAAATATAAAATAAGTAGAAATAATTTCTAAATTCATTAAAAATTCTGGATACCTACCAAAATTTTACATTAGCAACTACTACATGTATTCTTATCTTAAGGCTAAGAAAAAATTAAGTCGATAATCCAAAATATACTCACGCATGTGTTGATAGCCATAGTAAACATTATAGGCTCGTTCCCAATCAGTAATCGGCGCGTAGTAGGCCATAGAGTAGGGGAAGTATTCCAAGGCTTGAACATTCTTCAATTGGAACACTCCATATTTAGTCGCAAACTCATAGTTTATGTAATTATCGTAGTAGTACGCTTGAACTTCGATTTCCATTTTACCATCATCAACAGCCTTTTGTACATTTTCATGTTCCCAAGAATAAAATTCCTTTAACATTTCATATGCAGCGTTAGTCGTGTTCCAGTATTCTTGTTTGAAATCTTTATATGAAGCGACAAACTTGAAGTAGTCTGGAGCGTTTGCTTTAATAATCATCTTGTAGCAATCCATTTGATAAAAGTTGTCTTTACTGATTTCGTGCAGGCATCGTTTCGCCAATGGATCCTTCTTCAACAGTTCTGTATATTTCTTGCTTCGCTCACCATAACCTTGCACTTGAATATTATCAGAATTTCCATATTTAATATCCATTTCCGCTGTTACTTCTACCTTGTTCTTTAGAGCCTGTTCGAAATTGAGGACAGAAATTTGATTTGACAGAGGTTTGATCTCTTTGTAAACTGCATTTATTTGTTCCAAACCCAAAGGCTTGAAATTAAAGAAAAATACTGCCTGGTACTTAACGTCCACGAAACTGTCAGCAACAGCGGCGGTAAATACGTACTCGACTTTTTGGGTTTCATTGAAAACAACACTAAAGTCATAGATTTCCACTTGTGCTGACTCAATACCAGTAGCAGCTCGCTTAACCATTTCTTCTCGTCGAGCTTCGCTATTAGCGGAAATGTCATTCATTACAGCTGCTGGCTCCATTTTACCACTAAACTTCTGGTTGTATAACTTATCTGTAAAGTTAAATACGTAATATGTTACAGATTTATTTAGTTTATGTTATACTTTTTTTAATTTAATAAAAAAACAGTATATTTTCTTTATTATACTTACCATAGAATAAGTTCAATATGATATTCTTATTATCGGACTCCTTTGCAATATATTTCAGATTAAAGTGACTCAAAGCAACGTCTTTTTGGTACAATATAACACCAATGTTTGTCAAAAAGTTATCCTCAAATAATTTGTTCACATCTTTTACATCAGAAGAATAAGAATATCCTTGAAGGTGATAGGAAAGACCAACTGAGGAGCCTATCTTCGAATCAGCTGAAATAACTTTAGCAGGTCGTTCGATGTATTTAGTAGCGGCCGTTTCAGATACTGTTAATAGAGAATCTACTTCTTGCCAAGTGGTGTATGGCCAAACACTCCAATGAAGTAAAGTAGCATCTCGTTCAGGCAAAACAAAGTTCAATTTAATTTGATTTGGCAATATCAGTGTATTCAGATTGATAGGGAAGTGAAGTTGGAGTTTATTAATGACACCAACAGCTGCGTACTCATCTTTAAGCATGTCTAAGAAACCAAGACTACCATCCAAATTTCTTGCATAGGTAAAATCAATATTTTTGTGGACATAGAACTGGTTGCTTTTCTTTTCAAATTGGAATTTCACATTGCCATTAAATGAAAGTACCAATGGTTCATTGTACTCGAAGAAGAAGGGCACACCAGAAGCAAGAGGGAACGCTACATAGGTTTGCTTATGGTTCAAAACTTTGGTGTACTGAACATCGACGCCTTTCAACAACTGCTCCGTATTTTTAATTAGGTTAGATATAAAATCTTTAAGATCTGCCTCGTTAAAAGTGATAAGTTTCTGTTGGTTCAGATTTTCAAGGAAAAGTGAGCCTTCAAGTTCTTCCCGGGATTTAGGTTTCACGTGTAACTTTTCAGCCACTTCTCTAGCCGAGAACTTAAGGTCCACCTCGGCCTTCTTTGGTTCGTGCATCATTTTTACGATGTACTCCAATAACTGTTGCACTCCAGTTACGGATAAAGTTACCTGAAATAAGCAAGCATAATTATAACTTTTATAGTTTTTACGACAGTTTTATGGTTGAGATTTATTTTTCTTGTATTAGTACGCCACCCACACATCAGAAGATTAATAATCAGTATTAGATTGATGACCAAATTCGGGTGTATATCGTTGATTGGCACAGGCCCATCCTTTCACTCATTTTCCCCAATATCCTGTCTCCAATCCTCAAATCTCCAACATCCCCAAAGAGCGGCAATGCACTTGTAATTTTTGGTGTGGCGGGTGTCCATGGGCGATGCTGATTGCTAACCATTAGATGACCGGTGTGCTCGTGTGTTGCCTAATATTATAAGATAGGTTAATTAAACCTGACTAACCTGACTCTCTTCAGTGACGCCAGTACCTCTGGACCTCAAGGCCGACCTGTGGTATAGAGGAAAGTAGTTGTCTTCACTTCCAATGTATGATAGTTCTCTGAAGTACGCGATATCATCATCACTCGTATACTCATCGATGATGCTATCGGTCGATAGACGATATCCAAATTTCTCTTCCGAAACTAAATGTCTGACATAGCGAGCGGCTTTAGCACTGGAACATTAAATAAATGTAAATAGTTTTGTTTTAGATCAATATTGTTTAATTGAAGATTGATTACAACTTTTATTAAGTGAAATTATATAAAAAAAACTTACAGATCAGTAAAGCGAGGGTCCTTCAATTTGGCTGCGAATTTAATGCCGTTCGCCAGAACAGCTCGTACTTGCGAGCTGGGATCGATGTTTGTCATATGTGCCATTACTTGCATCATCTCAGCAGTAGGTGCAGTCATGAAAATATTCAGGGCGGCCATGACCCTCACTTCGTAAGCTTCAGCAGAATTGACTAAAATACTGTAAAGTGCAGTTCTAACTAGCTCATTTTTAGTGTTTGCTAAAGGCTTTAGACTGGCAACTATTTGGATACGAAGGTACTTAGATGTTTTAAAGCTACCATCCAAATAAGGAACAAACACTTTCAAGATTGCTGGATGGGCCAAATTGCCAAGCGCTCGGATGTAAACTTGTGCTTTATTGGAATCTCCAATTTGTACAGCATGTTCTAATTCTTTGGCAAGATGTGGAATAACGTTTTCCTCTACATATGCGTGTTTTTCACTGAATCGCATGACTTTAGTCGCTGCTAATAGAGCTGAATTATTTAAAAACTGTTGCTGCATTACTTGCGGATCGGTTGCAAAATCAAAGAATTTTCTTAGAACGTCCATCGTGGGATAGCGAAGAGAAGAGCTTATAGCAGTAATTAACTCAGCTGCTTCTTCCCCTTGCACTTTTTTCGTCACAATCCAATACTGTATTTGTTCAAATGCAGGTATAGTACCTGCTTGCGCGATTGCGTCTCTATAAATTATCCACATGCTAGTCTTACCAATGTTCTTCGAGGACTTTGCAATTTCGACGCTGCTGCTCAACTCCTTCAACTGTTCCTTATTGAAAGAGGCAAGTAGACGCACAAGTACACTGAACTTTGAAAGAAAGTCGGCTTTTGGTAATTTGTCTGGTGTTTGCAGCAAAGGAGCCATATCTTGCAGTAATTTTTGGGCGCTAGCGATACTCTGCTCACTAAGTTTGGGGACGAACATTGATTCAGTCATTGTCAATATAAGGGAATCAACTTGGCGAACTTCTTCAGGTTTTTTCCACTCGTCATCACTAGCCCATTCAGAGAATGAAAGCATGACATTTACGTAACTGTAAACTTCAGCCTTTTGCTTACCATATAGGAGAGGACTAACAAAAACAGAACCTATGGTCTCTGATTTGTAAATCGTGCCATTCCTGCCAACAACATAGCGAGCTTCAGTAGTGTGTTTGATTAACTGTTTCTCTTCATTTTCGGTTGCAATTCCATGCCAGAGTGCACCTTGTGGCACACCGTAATGGAATGTGGCGTATTTCTTGCACGAGCCATAGTTGTTTTCTTTAATGACCTCAAAAGGATCCTCCTCTAAATTGAATTTCGGCAGCTCGCGGTGCCAGTCTGCAGAAAGAGGTGCAACGGTATACATGGTCTCACACTCGCCACTTACATCGGTTTCCACCTTCTTGAAAAGACCTTGGTTAGTCTCTTTATCATAGCTGTTGGGGAAGTTATCAATGTAGTTATTAGTTGATAAATCAACTTGAAGTGCACTGACCAGACCTTTAAGCAAGTTTTCGTGAGCAATAGAAAGAGTTTTGGGGACATTCAAAGATTTAATACGACCTCCTTCAACGAATATGTCAAAAGCTTCGTCGGTGATTTGTATCGGTTGATACTTAATGTTTGAAGGTATATCGGTATATGAAATTTTCTCTTCTTCAAGCTGTGCGTACAAAGGTTTGCTTAGTTTAGCTATGAGATGACCTGGTGCAATCACGCGGACTAGGAACTTAGTCCTAAAGGCACTGCCAATGTTCTTGCTGTTGTCATAGGCAGCCCAGGTATAGCTGTCTATATTGTAGACGTAATCGTGGTTGACTTTCCAGGGCCAAGTGTTAATTTCAATGTGAGCAGACGATGCTACTGCGGCTGAAATATAAAAACAAAGTTTAAAATCCAATATAACTCTGTTTTATAATGTTTGAATAACCGCTGTGTACCAGATAAGTGAGAATATAGATATTAGTTTGTACAAACTAGTAGCGCTCCGTCCCTGCTTCTAAGTGAGAGTTCTAAGAAGAGTTGCGACTTCCCAAATTCCCAATGAAATAATAAGGACTATATCTATACTAATAGGTATTATAAAGAGGTGAAATTTGTAAGTTTTTATGTTTGTAAGTTTGTATGTAGAGGGTAATCTTTGGAACCGCTGGTCGGATTGCTAAAATTTCACTGATGGATAGCTACAATGTTCCTGAGTACTATAGGCTATAAAACATCACGTTATGATTAAATGGAACCGAGCAGCGGGTGAAACCGCGCGAGAATAGTTAGGACACTATATCTTTGAGAAACAACTTGAAGAACATTTCATTAATGCTTAATTTTTTATATTTAATGAAATTGATAATCGCCTTGTTATTAGCAAAAAGGATGTAACTGTTGTTTTTTATCCATGTTTAAAAAATTTACTAGGATTTGCTTCTGTATTGTTTTTGTAAATGTACCCCCTTTACAAACACACCACCAGCAAATAGTATCAGTAATCCTACTTTCCTACTATTATTATAAAAGTGAAAGTTTTAAGGATGTATGTTTACTATTCTTTCACGCAAAAATGGCTGTTGGTTGATTTTTTTATGAATATAGGTTAGCCTATAGTCCTTTTGTTGATATACTTCTACGTCTTCTACTACGTCCAAACACATAATTATACAGATAGCAGCCCGCTACAATTTTGTTCAGTTATTTTTTCTGATGTTTTCAGTATGATTCTGTAGCCTTAAGTATTTTTCTTAAACGAAAGTTATAGCAGAATCATTACTTATTAGGGAATTTAAAGTCCAAGTTTCCTCACGATGTTTTCTTTCACCGTTTGTCAGTGATGTCTAAATACACTTTGAAAGTTGGTACATATAACTCCGAAAAATCATACTGATAGACCTCACACATGCGAAGTGCCCGCACAAACAACTTAAAAAAACAATATCAATATTACCAACACCGAACTCACCGATAAACGCCGTCAGTATAAACAGCTTCATTGTTCCAGTAACAAGCAGAGGCCACAGTCAGTATCAAGGATTCACACTTCTGATGCACAGAATTGAATAACAAACCCTTATATACAATGCATTTTTCATACATATTACTTGTCAGCTCACCTATAACCCAGACTGATAACTTAGTTCTCAAATAAGAAATGTTATTTATATCTATAAATATACACTTTTACTATTGTTAGGTAACAATAACTTTTGTGAAATATTCAGTGCATGGATAACCTTAATTGTGTTTATATTTTAGTACATTTTTTATTTAGGTATTAATTGGTGATACTTGGTTTAGTATTTTTGGGATTCGATCGAAAATAGTGCTTCTATTAAGGGAATAAATCATCAAATTACTAATCCTGTCTTGGATTTCAGAAGGGCTGTTAGACTCTTACTAACTAAAATCACCCTGTGCCTTCTCCTGTGCCAGGCCGAGTCCGTGGTATATTAGCAAGAAAACTTTATGCCTTGTTCACGAATTTGGAAAGTAGCTAATACTGTCCAATTTAAGAATATTGTAGAAAATCGCACGATCAATTAATGTTGCCGTGCTGTGCCGCTTATTGAGATCTTTCATTGAATATATAACTTCAACCTGAAACAAATACATGGCAGGACACACTTTAAAAACAATTAGTAAGTTCAACTAACACGGTTGTATCATAACATGATTAAATAGAATACCTTCGATCAAGCAATCTCCTCCGACCAATATTTTCGTGACCGGCTAGCCTCTAAGCATTTTTGTCCTAATAGTAATCTTGTTTTTAAAATATTCTTGTCTCTTGTTTACATACATTTTAAACAAACATATTTGGCAATTGATAATAATATTGATGAAACTATCGCTAAAGTTAAAGGCTAAATTTAGCCAGGGCCACAGTGAATGAGAACTGGCTTGAGCTTTACCGACATTGTATGATCTTTTAACCATAGATAGAGTCCAATGTGTGTGTCCAAAGTGTGGGAGAGCCATGCTTCGGCACGAATGGGTCGGCTCGACCGGAGTGATACCACGGCCTCACAGAAAAGCGGCGTGAAATAACCACTGCGTTGTGTTTCGCCGTGTGAGTGAGGTTACCGGAGGCCCAATCCTTCCCCTTCCCCAATCCCTCCTCAATCCCTAAATCTCCAAATCCCTAATCCCTTAAAGGTCGGCAACGCACTCGTAACTCCTCCGTTGCGAGTGTCCATGGGCGGCGCTGATTGCTTACCATCAGGTAATCCGTCTGCTCGTATGCCGACATATTACATTAAAAAAAAATACTTAATTTCCAGACACAATAACACTCATTAAGACAGAAAGCATGCCACAACATGTGACTTTTATTAACGTGCACACAGAATAAAGACAAATACTGTCATACAGCCGCCATTATAATATTATCAACCTCAGAGCTCCTTATCAATATTTTTAAGTGTCGTAACATGTTATCACTTTCGCGCAAGTGTTAACAATAATTGAGTACCACTAGGTAAGTTTTTTAAACCTTGGGTCGAGAGTTTTCTGCGATAAATTAAGTTAGATAATTAGTTAAAATAACATCGCTGTTTTTTTATGTGATAGGATGGAAAACGAGTTGTCGGATTACCTGATGGTAAGCAATCAGCGCCGCCCATGGACGCAACAACGGAGGAATTGCGAGTGCATTGCTGACCTTTTCAGGATTAGGGATATGGAGATTTTGGGATAAGGCGAGGGCAAAGATGGTGTCACTGGTAACCTCCATCACACGACGAAACACAGCGTAAGTTTTGCTTCACGCCTGTTCTTTGCGTGGTCAAAGCGTGGTTTGATGTTCCGCTTCAAAAAAAAAAACAGTTAACTGGTTAACCAAAGTAACCAGCGTTTTGGACCCTCCCTCTCCCTCCATTTAGGGTAGGAGAAGTATGTATATGGATTTTCCCGCCAAAAAAAAGAGATGGCTGCCCTATGCTATAAAAACTCTAGTTAACACTTTTTTCTTCGACATGAATAAACGTAATTAGTATTTGAACTCAAATAGTTCAAATAGTTCTACTAGTGTTGACTAGCCGAAGTGTCACTGACCCAACGAACGCGGAATACAACACATCTGGCCAGTTTTTCAGTAGGTACACAAATGTGTAAGCTGTTTGCAGAAAACAATTACAGCTTCCTTCCTAATCGAGAACATGGAGTTTTTTTTATATCACATCTTGGACACAAAAAATATCTACTTATAAATTAGTTTTTGATCTTATCACTACATAGTATAAAATAAAGTCGCTTTCTCTGTTCCTATATCCCTATGTACGCAACGCATGCATTTTTTTTTAATAGATAGTGTGATTGAAAAGGACTGTTTATATGTACATTCAGTCAACAAAGTATCGGGAATGAATGTTTTTTTTATGGTTCCAAATTCGAATTTTTTTTTTTTTTTGTTGTTGTTAGATTGGCATAACTGTTTTCCATTTTGGCGCGGAATTTGAGTTGCATCTGTTATTTATATTAAAAACAGTGCTGTTTTTAGTTTTATAATATCTAGTGTGTATTGCGAATTTCATAATGGACAAAAACATCGAACAAAGAGTTTGTCTTAAATTTTGCATCGCCAATGAAATTTCGTGTTCGGAGGCACTCAAAATGTTACAGAAGGCTTACGGTGAATCGACTTTATCAAAAACACGTGCTTATGAGTGGTACAAAGCGTTCAAAACCGGTCGAGATGTGATGGAAGATTTGCCTCGTTCTGGTAGGCCATCAACGTCTGCAACTGAAGTTAACATCGCAAAAGTGCAGGAAATAGTGACTGAAAATCCTCATTCAAGTTTGAGAGTCAATACCGACCCAACATTCATGAAACGCATTGGTATTACTGGTAATGAGACGTGGGTTTACGAGTTTGACATGCAAACTAGTCAACAAGCTTCGGAATGGCGCCTTCCAACTGAACCAAAACCGAAAAAACCACGTCAAAGTCGATCAAAAGTCAAAGTCATGTTGACTGTTTTCTTTGACTATCGCGGTGTTGTGCACTCACAATTCTTGCCCGAAGGTCAAACGGTAAATAAAGAATATTATTTGAGCGTTATGCGGCGTTTAAGAGAACAAATTCGACGAAAAAGGCCAGAAATGTGGAAAGAAAATTCTTGGATTTTGCATCACGATAATGCGCCTTCGCACAAGGCCATCATAGTAAACGATTTTTTGTCCAAACACTCAACAAACACCATCGAGCAGCCACCGTATTCACCAGATATGGCTCCAGCCGACTTCTTTCTTTTCCCCACACTCAAATTACCCCTTCGTGGCACCCGTTTTCAATCGTTAGAAGACATAAAGGAGAATTCGCGGCGAGCACTGAACTCAATTCCGGAAACAGCGTTTAAAAAAAGTTTCGATGATTGGATTATTCGTTGGCGTAAGTGTATCGTTTCTGAAGGAGCATATTTTGAAGGTGATAAAATAAATTTAGATGAATAACAAACATTTTGTGTATTATTGACTTTTTCCCGGTACTTTCTTGACAGAGTAGTATAACTAGCTACTCTCGCGCGGTTTCACCTGCTGCTCGGCTTCATTTAATCGTAGCGTGATGTTTTATAGCCTATAGCGCTCAGGAACATTGAAGCTGTCTATCAGTGAAAGAACTTTGACAATCCGAGCGGTTCCAAAGATTACCCCCTACATACAAACTTACAAATTTTACCTCTTTATAATATTATAGTATAGACATTAAGTACCGACATTGCATCCATGAGAAGCCAGGGTGGGTCGCTAGACGTTTATAAAGAGTTTAATATGTAGTCAATCTTTCTGATTCTACCTCTGAAACCTTTGTCGACAGTCCTAACTCAAGACTGTAATTAAAAGTATGTACCTTGTAGATATATTATTGTTTCATCACACTTCTCCTATTCATTTTTTAATCAACTATAATAGAAAGAAAGAAAAAGTATTTATTCGCGTCTGGGACGCATAAAAGACACAAAACGAAAAAGATAATAAAATAAAGTTAAGAATAAAAATACATTAAGCATGGTAAAAACAATATCACAAAAGTAGAGGGTAGGAGAAAAATATGCGTCCAAGCACGCGAAATGGCCCACGCTCAGCATAATGCAGCGACCCCGTACGAGACGGGGTCGCGGCGCTGATTTTCATCGATGGCCGACACTAACGCATGACGCCAGTCTGTGCCTAAACTTAAGCTAAGAAAATAAAAATTTGAAAATAAGTATTTAACTTATTTTCTACTGAAATATGTTTTTTATAATTGTTTGAATAATACACTACCATAAAACACAAACCACATAATGATTAAAAAATATAATCGTATAGTCCCCTACTTAACAGGTTCCCCTGTAAATAAATAAAGAAAAACCACTTTTTAATATGTAGTATCTTATATTTAATTGAGCATTAAAATTAAAGACAGCAACTGTCTCTTACTTACAAGAAAAAAAATAAAATAAGATGTTCAGACATCTTAAAAATATTATAATAATGAGCAAATTAAGAGATCTCAAAACGGAAAATACTTATGTTATCCTAAAACGAGATTCTTTGGAAAGCATGCATTTGTACATTTTTAGGAATAACTTAGAATTATTTGAGATTTTACATAAACCTACTTAACCTATATAAAAAGTGGCCTAACAATCATCCTAAATGACTAACCTAAATTGGTCCATATTTTATAAGTAATAGGATCGTTTTTCATAAATCTATTATTGAACTAATATAATATACAATATCTAACATATAATTGAGCAAATATAGGTGCAAATGGAACAGGTTCTTAAAATCTAGGCATTAAAATATAGTGACTAATATTAGTCTTACATTAAAGAGATCTTAATAATTATATCTATTTAATACACAATAATAATGGAAGATTTTTCTAGAACTAAAAAGTTTTTAATTTCATTTTGTTTTGGTATCCTTACTATATGCAAAACTCGATAAATGTACTGCTAGGCGCTAATCTCGAAAACTGCGGAACCGATTTTGATAATTCCTTTTTTTGTACAATATTCTTTGAATTACGAAGGTCCTTTTTACACAGAGAAAAATGGGTAGGTAGGTATTTATATGGTTACAATTAGGATAATATACCGTATGATTTCTCTCTCCCAGGGTAAGGCGAGAGAGAGTGTCAGACTCTTACTGACTAAAAACCCCCCCGTTCCTTCTCCTGCTCTGGGCCGAGAGGTCGCGGTGCCTCATTGCGCTTACCCCGCAGCCCCGGCTAGGATAATATACCTACAGCTTGAATGAAGTCACGTTGGGTTAATTGTACATTTAATTTAGTTGGGGTGTACGGACGAAATACCCTAATTCGCAAAGACGAATCCCTAGGTAAAAGTTTCTAAAATGACTAAGTTATCTGTTGCTATGTTGGTAAAGTCAAAACATTATTATCTGAATTGATACACAGACATTTTATTTACAACAATTAGTTACTATCAATTATGATAAACTTTGTTTCGTTTAAGATCATTCGACGTCTGTTCTCTATACCACGATCGCCCTATGTTTAAGAAATTGTAAACATATGTATAAGTACCTAAATATTTACAAACATTTAACTAACACATGATATCTGATAAAATATTTTCAAATGGAATCCTTTGCTTAAGAATTAACGAATTAATTTAGACATAAAAAACATATTCTTATTCTAGTTTTTTTGTGTTTACAACACAAGATAAGACGCGTTAATTACAAGCACTTAAAATTAACAAAAACAAAAATTGAGCCAATTGTATTCCTTCAGTCTTTTGAACAATATTTTTAAGTTTACCATTACAATAGCTAAAGTTAAAATTTTGGTAAAATAACTTAAAAATAATCAAATATCCCAAATACATATTAGTCTTAATTTGAGCAGAGTTTCTTTATCTTTGAATTATTAATCTAGAAGGTGCAAAGTCATATAATTTTTTCAAGGATTTTTTTTAAAAACGTCAGCATGATGTGCTTATATTTCGGACGACAATCCGATGTCAAAAAGGAATAATTACTAGTACCTGTTATAAGGTATCTAGAGACCTTTGTTTTAGGTTTAGAATGTAGTGTATCTGTGGTATGATAACACTTTACGATACAGAAAAATCACTAGACTGATATTTTAGCAGTATCTTTGAAACGAAACTGCATCCGAAAGTAATAATTGCACCTTTAGAGAAACGGCCACATCACCATATTCGTATGTATGATTATAAGCCACTCAATCTAGTCAGCTCTAAAGTTTTGTACAACTAAATGATTTTAACATCGCAAGAATTGTCTTTATGCAAGAGCCGTGGCTCCAGGTCCTATGATAAATAGCTTGGTACTACAACGTACTTAAAATGAAGAGCGATGTCCTTACAATTTCTGCAACAGCGGAACGGTTATTTTATCTCTTATGCATCGTAATGTAGTAAGCTTGGCTGGTGAGCTGGGTACCGTCTGCTCCTGGTCAGGCTTCTTGATTGGTCGTGATGCGGGTACACAAGTGCGAGGAACGTTGGGGATGTGCGGATGCGTCTTCACATGCTTCCGAAGAGAGGAAGGGTCAGTGTACCTCTTGCCGCAACCGATAGCACCGCAGGCATAGGGTCTCTGTAAACATGTTATCATAATTTATTCATCATCGTCGTCAATAGCCTGTATAAGTCCACTTTTGGATTTGGATCTCCTCTATAGATGAATGGTTTGCCATAACCTTTGCGCTTGAAAAACAGTTTGGAAATCCCAGCTCATAATTTAAATATTCTCAGTTAAATAAGTAGCTTTTTGTTTATTTTTATCACCGAAAAGTAGGGGTGTACCTCAGGGATCATAATTTTATATTTTTTTAATAAAATAAATGCTATTAGTACCTAATGGTAAATAATTGCCACCTCGAAACACAAGAGGTGCAGTTTCTGATATTTATGAAATGGAGACTGATTGTGTGAGGAAAAAGATTAGACCTCGAATTTGGAGAATAAGTTAAATGATAAAGGTATGCAATCGAATTTAGACAATATATATTTTTTCTTCTCTAAACATTGTAGTTACAAAGCGGGTTAATATAAGGTTTATTTATTCTAATCAATAAGGCTGTACAGTTTAGGCTAAGAATGAGATCGTTAAGAGGTGAACACATATCTAATGTTACCGATAAATTGAACCGACAGATAATATTACGCAATCAAAAAATTTTTTCTGTAAGTCTTTTTGCAAATTATAATCTTTCGACCTTTTCGTGCTTGGGGTCAATGATAAGTCATGATTTTGATTTTTGACTTAAACCTTGTCTGCTTATCTATTAAATGTGTTTTTAAACTTAAAGATATCCTTGGATTGTGTCTTAGCCACGTGTAAATCCGCGCGCGCCTCTAAGAGCTGATGGTCCTATAGAGCCCTATAGGGCTGATGTTCAGCCGGGGTTGCGGGGTGAGCGCAATGAGCACAGCAGAAGAAGGGACGGGAGCCGTTTTAGTCAGTAAGAGTCTGACACTCCCTCCCGCCCTCTCGCCCGACCCTGGGCGGGAGAGAGTGTGTGTTCATAGGTCAATTTGAAGCGCCGATTGCTTATCCCCAGATAATTCATCAGCTCGTTTGCCATGTTCACATAAAAAGCTGACGTTCAATATAGAAGATAGAGGGCAATAACAGGCCTTTGTTCAGCAATGGACGGCTTCCGTCTGATGATGATGAATAGGGACAAGAAAATATCACTTTATACTCACAGCATTGAAATGAGTTCTCTGATGTTTCGCTCTGTCTGAGGAGTTAGAGAAAGCTTTTCTGCAATGCGGTGCAGGGCATGCATACGGACGTTCACCAGTGTGAGATCTGACGTGGATCTTCAAGTTTTCCAATCTTGAGAACGCTTTACCACAACCTGGATGCTGGAATATAATAAAGTCAGTTAAGGTCTGAAGATAAGGTTGAATAAATCGAAGGTATATCCAAAAGTTCGACATTTCGAAAAACCATTTTTGCCGTAGCTAACCGTAACAAAAAAGTAATTCTCATCTTTTCGAAGCTGAAAATCAGTACTTTTTTTCTATAACCACAAATAATAATTTACTTCACGAACAAGGCATAAGTGAAATACAATTCTCAGTAGAAGCCAATGTGCAGTTCGAATTTTCCAAGTATTCAATAATTATTGTATTACTCACATGACACCTGTTGGGCTTATGTCCTGAATGTACGCGCATGTGTATCAGGAGCTTGTAGCGCGCATTAAATGGCCGGCGTTCCCGCGCACAGTCGCGCCACAGACAACTGAATTCATCACCTAGGAGACAAGTTTACTAAGTTATAATCGAACTTACTAGTGTTTATTATTCTTAAAAATATTTATGCAGCTTTCGATTTTATATCGAAGCAATAAAGTTGACAATTGATAAGAATAAGAATGTTTTATTTGCATAAAACATGTTCTGCATGTTTCGCCGTAGCATCGATACCTACCTTTATATGTGTTGACATGTGCCCTTTCAATGTGTTCCACTAGTGTAGTTTGGTTTGGATATCTTTCATAGCAATGTTCCCATAAACATACTCTTTCACCTAAAACATAAATTATTTTTATTAAATAGGTAATTTAAATAAAAAAATCGCTTACTTTTGATCTCAGTCTAAGTAGTCAGAAATAGTTACCTTGAACCTTATCTTTATCATTCTTCCTAGGTGCCTGAGTTTTAGTATTATCAACAATATTCACATTAGTTTCTGTCTCATAATTTATTCCAAAATCATCTAAATTAACAAATAGGTCATCTTCATCGAAATTTTCCGAGTTCTCATCGTAATAACTTGAGCTGTGAACGTCACTTTCAACAGACTCGGAAACAGAAATCTTTCTTTCATTTCTGTCAAAACTAAATTCATTACAGCTTGTAGGGGTGTCAGGAAGCACGTATTTTCTTTCTTCGAGATTATAAAGTATGTTGTTTGGGTAACTGTAGTGTTCTAAGCTGTTTACAGCACCAGCAGTCTGTTGGACCGGAGTAACATTGTTGTACTCTAGCATTTGCGTATCATCAACATTATAATTACAGTATCTCTTAGAAAACACTGTATCAATTGACGGTAAAAGATTCTTATCTGGCGTATTAGCATTTAAATAATCTTCATTAAAATCCGGCGTCAATCTGCAAGATTCGCCATCCTCTCTGCATAACTCATCAATCAGTGATTCGTCATCAATGTAGTCGTTGTTTGATTCATACATTTTATTTTCTTGTCCCTTATAGACATCTATTTTGCAACTTTTCTCTTCAAAGTCGATATTATCAAGATCTAAAAGGACTTCCTTAATATTCTGCTCATTAATATTACTATCGATCACCTCGTCTATAATCTCGAAATCAGCTTCATTGCTTGTTGGTGTATTCCAGTTGTCTAAGACTTCAAAATCAAAACTTTCCTCGACTCCATATTTGAAATTATCGACTTTCTTATTTTTATTGCTATTCTCCAGTTCTAAATTGAATTGTGTCATGTAATAGGCGTGCAGATCTGTGACATTGTCGTTTCTGTCGTTAAACATTTCCTCATCATAAGTAGGTATGATATCAAATTGCGCCATCTTCGTAGGTTCATTTACCTACAAAAGTTCAGTAGTCTCTATGTAGAGGTGTTGACATGTGGTGTTTACTCGTAACTTTGCGCATGTGGTTTTGCTATTATTATAAAAATAAACTTTCTCTGTGTATGATCACGCGTGGCTCCAGCATCTGCAAATTATAAAATTAATCGTCTCTTTAGAATTATTATTTAGTCGCCACACGTGTTACTGAGCTGACTTATAGCCTATTATTATTAGAGTTAGGAAGCTCATTCGATGATGCAAAATGGTTTTTATTTTTAAATACTGAATGGACATCTTATTGTTTGAATCACGCAGGAAATATATTTATGACATAAATCTTTGAACAATCACGATTTTATTGCCAAATGTTGTAAAGTCTAAATTACTTGTGTATACTTAAAGTTTTGTGAAGACACGTGGATTTATATATGTATGGTTGTTGATTGCACTGGTACTTAATTCATGTGCTGAATTCGAATTTCACAATTGCTTTCATAAGAGTTTGTACAGATAGGATATGTAGAAAACCATTAAGTATCAAAATTATCAGTCTGTAAACTTGGAGCTTAGGTAAATTAATTCCAATTTAATTGTACTTTAATGGTAAATAAGAAATTTGAAGACACTTTGCATTAAGAATACCTACTTTTTGCAGTTATAGCCAAAGGCTATAACTGCAAATAGTAGTATAAAATCCCAATAAAAAGGTAAAAAAACCTATTTGTTATACCAGAAAATAATCTATATCTATGCCAAATTTCATTCAAATTGCTTTAATACTTTTTACTCGAAAGAGTAACAAACATCCATCTATAAATATAAACTTAAGCCTTTATAATATTACTAGGGTGACGTATAAGAAAATAAATCAAAGTACATTTGGTGGTAGCCTTGTGTAATTATATTTTTACGAAGACCAATGCAGAGAATAGGGAAGCAACAAGATTTCTCCGTAGTTGAACTTATTAATAAATTTGGCCTCGAAATATTGAAGCTACTGTAATGAAAACAAACGTAATTTATGTATGTGTGTATGTGTACCTATGGTAATATTTTTGTCAACATAAAATGTTATATTTATTGTACCTATACTCTCTCTGTTTTAGATAGGAGAAGTGTCAATGATGATAGTACCGATTTTTTAAATTATTATATTCTGTATAATATCCTTAGTATTAATCATTACTAATTTAATTTTGTCCATAAACATATTGCTAGTAATCAGTAATATTAATTTTAAATTAATGAAATTAAATAACACCATATCTGTTAATGTTATATAAAGTTTAATAACTTTATTTATTTTTCAATACTATTAAAAATAAGTTTGTAAATCAGTAACAAAACGAAATCTAAACATTTATGAATTTGCTCGACCTGGCAAACGAACTTAAGACCTCGGAATCAGCAGTCACGCATACGACGACTGAGCAGTGAAATCAGACTAAATAAAAATATTATTTGTTTTGTTTTTATCATAATATATGTGAAGTTAGGCAAGCATAATAGTTGATATAAAATATAGTTAAAATTATCTATTATCTAAAATGATAATTATGTTCGCTAAACAAAACAATATTACTAAGAGTTAATTATAATTAATTTAGATGATAACAGTAATAATATTACCATGTTAATACAATTAATAATGTACACTAGTCATTTCCTATGACTTCGTACGCGTTTAATTTTATTTCAATATTCTCACGAAATTAGTTCTTAATTCAATTCATTTTTAAGGGCTGATTTTTCAAAAGCCCGAAAAATGTTGTCAGATGAATAGAATTGTTGCTGTCACTGTCTTATACAAACATTGTGACGCGACAGCATCATAATATTCATATTTATTATCGGCTCGATATATCGACAAATCGGCCCAAAGAATGGTAAAAATCCTTTTCTCTTACCCGTGCTACTTCGCGCTACTGTTAAGGTATTTGGGACTTCTTAAATATATTAGGTATCTGATAGTTTTCAGTTACCTTACCTGACGAATACATATAGGTACTAAGATATATGTATTTCGTATAGAAAACACATTAATTTACCTGCGATTTAAGTTTACTAAGTTTATAAAAATATAGCTAATAAAAAATATCGCTCTTTGCATTAAAAAAAAAAATCAGTCTTGGTAACGTAAAATAAGTTTGAAAATAATTTGAACCAGTGTGGTCTGATATCTTTTTAATATTTTCTAAACAAAACAACGGAACGAACGACGGAAAATTTTATTATATTTCACAACAGACAAACTTGTTTTTATTTCTTTATCACATTTTTGTTTTAGATAGGTAATAATTACACGGCTTTTAATCTCGCTTTATTTTTTTGCATAAGCGTAAAATTAAGTTTGTTTTTGTGTGTGATCACATGATTCTTATGAGAACAGAAATATCTGATCAGATAAACTTACAGTCATTCAATATACAGTGATAATCGAGAACCAAATAAAAAATATTAATAAAACCTTGATCTGTATAATAAGAAAAATCGTTAATATAATTCTCCTTAATTAACTAAAATACCAATAGGTATAAATAACAACAACAAATACTCACTTATTTAAATAAAAAACAGCGATGATAATATTAAAACACAAACTTCACAAAAATGGCGGGAATTGTCAAAGTGACACATAACCTAAAAATTGTTGATGTGCGACGCGCACGAGTGAACCACACCAGAACTTTGACGGGAATAGTACAGGAGCTAACGGGTTCGAGAAAAAACCCCTTACTGAAACCATAAGACGACATGGAGGTGGTAAATTATGGAAGGACATGTGTAACACGGCTGATCGTTAAAGTAGGACGCGCGCTGTCATAAAGCTAGCTAATGCAGTACTATACTTATTAATTTAATTTGGTTTAGGATGATATAAGATTTTTATTATTATATTGAAAATTAATAAAAAACACTGCTTACTTAACGGCTACATTTTTCAACAATTAAATTAATTTCCGATAAATATTATTATTGTTTTCAAATATTATTTGTATTAATTATTCATTTGTAGCTTTTTTTTATGTTCTTAATAAATAAAATCAGTGATTTAATAAATTCAAATTTAATTTTATTTGATTACGCTCATGCACCATTTAGTTTCTCTAATTCAATGTAACAACATGTGCTCTTAAAGTGCCAACTCTACCTTACATCGCATCTTTTAAAACAAACTTAGCTAAGTTCTTACCATGCAAGACATAAGATTTATATTCCTTTAGCAATGGTTAGGTTCTACGAAAGCATTTAAAGTTGTGCTTTACCGACTTTTGGCGCCAAGAATATTTTTAATAATTCAGTTGTCAATACAAAAAACTTTATTGATAACAACAATAAAAAATATTGCAGGTATCAAATATAACAGTAAATATTAACATTTTTTGATGGATAAAATCATTAAATCTCGTCTCCGGCCCTAGGTGAGGGGAGAAGGAGTGTCAGACTCTTACTGAGTAACAACCACCCCGTTCTTTCTCCTACTCCGGGCCGGTGCTGTGTTAAATTTACTCAGTTACAACCGCAACTCAGATTTAATCAGATCTTGGAACAATTTGTTTTTTAAAATATAATTTTCTGCAAGGCTATGACGTCTTCTAATCTTATCCTTCAATGACCCTAACTCTTGCGACTATAGTCAGACTTTTAATTCGATTCCTGATTTGACATTGACCACTGTCATTTTGTGAAATAATGATACCACACATAACAGTGTAGTGATGAACACAAAAATCGATAAACAATCAGTGAATCAGTTTCAGGAAGGCATTCAAAAAATTACGGCTACCGAATGGTCTAAATGTGTATTCCATGTTTTCAAAGAAGAGGAAAAAATGAGTAAGCTAAATATGTAAATTGACAATAAATATCACAGACACAATTCATAATAAATACATTTAGTATTTACATAAAGTAACAGCGATAGCGATCGCGATGACGCGACGGTGACAATTTATAAAATGTCTGTTTTATTTGTCACGTTCCTTCATGATCACATTTTTTATTAATTTCACACACAATTACAAAAGAAAAGTCTCAGATCGTTAATTAATTGTCAAAACTAAATTATCGGTTCAAAAATATTTTATTTCCTGATAAACTTAGTTTACGAGAGTAAATTTATAAACGAGAGGAATCGATTCAGAAATATTCGATTTCCATATCGAATAATTTCGCAACGTCACTATTTATTACGTGTCATAACGTTGCAACACCGAAATTGTCAAATCTGGAATGGAATTAAAATTCCGAGTATAGTTTCTGTAACTCGCTTAATGTCATCATCCAGTTTTGTAAGCGGCCCTTAGAAAAAGGGCAAAGCTTAACTTTTTTAGAGGAGGGAAATTCATCAAATGGCTTCTCTCTGCAACAAGGATTATTAGACTCTTACTGACTACAAACCACCACGTCTCTTCTCCTGCTCTATGCCAAGGCCGCGGTACCTGATAGCGCTTGCTCCGCAACAGCTGGTACCTAGAGCAAAGTTTACCTGACGTAATCATAAAGAAATAACATTAAGCCATCTCCAATTATCTGACAGAAACCACCGGAACTCCCTTTTATGAATTTAATTCTTACAGTTTCTTGCCAAAGGTAGAACTACAATGGTGACAGAAACGTTAGATCAGCAATTAATTGTCAAACACTATGTAATATGGAGTTGAAGCTATCGAATCTCCTGAACCCTCAAATCCATAACTCCTAAAAGGCATCCGACCGACATCATTATGTTGTACATACATAATTATTTTAGTTTTTAGTTTAATTTTACTAATAATATTTAAGCTGTAGATTTATCTGCGTTGGTTGAAGTGTATAGTAGTTATACTTCGGCAAGTATAGCTCGACAGGAATGGTATTATCACGGCCTCACAGAATAGCGGCGTGAAACAACCACAGCCTTGTGTGTTTAATGTGATAAGTCGGCAAACGAGCAGACGGATTACCTGATGGTAAGCAATCAGCGCCGCCCATGGACACCTGCAATGGAGGAGTTA